TTCCCCAATATTTTACTCAGATGGGGCCCACCCCCATGTCAGTGATCCGTTGGATTTCTGGCAAATCCATTTCTGTAGAAAAGGATTTGCTCTGTTTCTTGTAACTCTTAGGCTATTTATTTTGTACTTTCTGCAGCCAATTATGAATTATAATAAGGAAGATTTCTTGTTCTTTCTTTTCGGAAACTTTCATTACTATTTCGTTAACATAATATGTTTTTCACAGTCTCACGTTTCAACTCAGTTAACAAACAATATTTTCATACAATCAAATAGACAAGAAACTTATAATCCCCAATAAACCACCCTATCATTTTGAATCCATAAACCAGAGCATATCATATCCACGTATATTTAGAACCAAACTGGAAAACCCACAAAGGATTTGTAAGAAGAAATAAAAAATAAAAAGAAAGAGTTACATAGAAAAACTTCTTAAACAAGGGAATCAAATGAACCAGAAATCCCAGGACATAAAGATGATCAATTTCATCACAATTTCGAAACTGAAGCTATATATAGAAAATTAACAAAAAATGATCCTTCGGGAAACACTCCATATAAATAAACCCCAGGATATGAATCAAAACATCTAAGCAAATACATATAAAGAGTGAAATGCTAAACGGCAGGATCAAACTGAAAACCTGAGAGAACTAATGACAAAAAGCTTGGAGGCAGAAGGGTGGCCATGGAAAATTCTGTTGAAATATGAGAAAAAATTCATCTTTCTTTCGTCTCCTTTGTTTCTTGCTAATGAATGAATGAAATCAAATATAAATAAAAAAGCACATTAACACTATTGAAGGTGGTGCATTTTTAAACTGGTGTCTAGTGTAAAAGTCAATGGTTATATGTTGGGTACTTTACTGACAAATGCAATATATAACGAAAGCCGTATCAGTTCTTGTAAATTGTGCATTATAAGTCGTATATTTATTTGGCAGGAGTATGGGGTGGCATATATAAAATTTGGTTGTGTATTAAAAAGCTTGGAGTGTGTTTATCTGTTAAGTAACTGACAGATTACACGTGTGGCATTAGGATGGGTTTACGCTCTTGTCCTAGTTTACAGCGGAAAATGAGATCTCACTCGCATTCATCATTTAAATTAGAATGTTTCTTATTTTTCACATCTTGTTTGGATAATATTATTTCATATAACTTGTAACACCAAATTAATGTGATCAACTTATATGATCGGGTACAAAGGACTTCACATTGTGTTTGAGAAAATTTGATTTATTTAGCGCTTACGGTTTAGATAATGCTTGTTTTTTATGCTGAGAATCTTCTAAGTTTTGTGATACGTTTCTAAAATTGAATTTCGTAAACACTTTTCTCCACATAACTTTCTTTCATATTTATATATGAACAAAGGTGAAAGTTGAAAGTTAATTTGTTGGCTATTCGGCATTGATTGTTACTTGTTAGGCTAATGTGAACAATAGTTTTATGCGCCACACAAACCCGACACTTCAAAATTTCCGTGGCTGAGTTCAACAGGCAAATCCAGTCCATACTTATCTACTGTGGGTCAATAGTTTCCTAATAATTAATTTCCAAAAACACAGATTCCTCCAAGGACCCAAACTATCCCAAAAAAAGGCTGCAAGGTGGAAACTGGAATATTCCCAATTTATAAACGTATTATTTTATATTTACGTGTTAGAATAATGTTAGTTCAATTATTAGTTCAAGGAGAAGCATTCAGTCATAAGCAACTCTACGAATTCATTAATTTGAAAAGAGATGACTAGTTGACTTTTAACATTTCTTTATTGCTGATGTCAATTTTGTTTAAATTGCTGGCATGCCCTTATCCAATGAAAGGAAGTTGAATCTTGTACGGTGCAAATAGTTTATAATTTCATCTAAAAGTTAACTACCAAGTATTTTTCTTCTTATATTTATCCGGGGACAAATAGAAAAGCTATTGAGAGAACGTAAGGAATGACCTCAAGTAGCCAATTAAAGAAGTTTTTACGATTTCACAAGAAGAGTATACTATGTGAAGGATGTTCTCATTCACTGTTTCATAAATTTAGGATCCGAAATAAACCATTAAAGTTACAATAAGAGTTTGAGCTATGGTGAAACACCAACCATAATTTTGGATCAGAAATTACAGATGTTGAAAATGAAACTTTCTTTGTAAAGGTCCACTGTGCAATTACTCTGTTGAAGAAGCGCCTTGATAAGCAAGGAAGTCAGGATTACAACCCATTTATTCAGGTTCCAAATTTTTCCCTGCTCAAACTAGCTAATCGTGTCCAATTTTGTCCACAGCTTCCATAATTTTACTACAAGTAATTGCAATAATTCAATGAAATTAAGCCAGGCCTCATTAACTATTTCAGTAAACTCAATAAAGTACACGACAAAAGTCTAATTGGCAGTCCACAACCTGTTAACGTTCAGAATTACACCAAATTAAGCTCAATTTACCGTATGGACTACAATAGATAAGATCACAAGGGCATATTCAAGTCAGCAACCAGTGCCCACAGCTATCTGAATAAGGATATTCTTGAGCAGATCAAAACCTGAAACATAAAACATGGAAGACGTCCATTGACACCACTCTAGGACATCTTTTTTGGCATGATGTGTTGCACATACACTTCAACAAGGACAGTGTGTTCCGTGTTCGAGCATAATCATTTTTCTTTCCTTACTAAAAATATTATAAATTATTATTAAGTAATTTAGTGATTTTCTGTGCTTAAGCTGAATCAGTGACGAATAGTTTTCTCGGGTTCATATAGAGAATTTGGGCAGAATTTCTTTTCAAGAGGGCGTCCGAGGGTTATGAATTATATAAGGGATTGATTTATTTATAAACCATAAAACCCTAATTTGCACTACACGTGTGAAGCGACATTCTAGTATTTGAGTCGACTGTCCGCACCCTTAATCCTGTCAATTATGCCACAAAGTCCGACATTTTTTCATACAACAACAATTTATATCATTGATTTTAAATACATTCATCTCATCATTTTGCATCCAAGCTTTGATGACTCGTACTGATTCATCCAAAACTACCAAACTGAAAGAAGTGGCCCCGAGACAAAGAAACAAGGGGTTCCTAGTGCACCTATGACTTCTCATTCGACCACAAATCCCATTTTTGAGACCATTCTTCAGAAAACATTGACCCAACAAACTGTTCAAGTTGCTATAGACCCGCCCAAACTGTTTGGTTGCTCATACGTATTCCTGTCCACATAAGCAAACCAAACTGGCTTTATGAGCAATTGACCGGGTTTCAGGCCAGAACTGCCATGCTGGTCCAGATGGACACAAGTGTTAACTATGTGGACAAATTCAGAGAAAAGTAGTCAGTTCCCATATAGGATTAAGAAGAAAGACGTCTGCTGGTAACATCAAAACTGTTTCTTTTTTTGCTCTTCACTAGTCTATAACATTCATAAAGTACTCGAAGAACAAAAAATACAGTCACTATACTATTCTTAGAACACGTGCCTTCAGACCTAAGAAATGAAAAGGACGAACCGATTGGGCGAGTTAAGCAATCATCCAAGTCAAATGCCGGTACCCAGCCCATTTAGCAGCAAGACGGACACCAATGGCCAATGCAACACATAACAGAGGAAGTGGAACCCTATTAACTGTTCCTGTGTTTTCCTCTTCCTTCAGAGCCGAAGGGTTCTTTGAGTGGTGAAAGATGGCCAATGCCAAATACGAACCCATCACCAATACTCTAACCCAAGGCTCTCCCACAGCAGATAAAACAGCTGCAACAGGCAATGCAGAAGATACGTAATCTCTCTTCTTCATAAACCTTGCAAAACCAAACAATCCTAGGAGTAACATCAAGAAAAATGACTCAGAGATAGAGTTCACTACAGCAGCATAGCCGATTAAGCCAGCTACTGTGAGAAGATATGGCTGACTATTTACAGAGCCAGGGACGGTGGCTTCAGCAATAGCTAGTACAGCAGAAGTCAGCATAATTATTGTTGTCAGCTCTTGAATGGGAGCATATGCAATTATGCTGGAATAGAAAGCTCGTACAGCATAGAACATAGTTTCAATTCCTCGAATTAAGGATGTGATTGGATCCCCAATAAAATGGAATATAAGAGCCAATATGAGTTTTGATAAGTAACCCAAGAATCCTAAAATCGCTGACACAGCTTTTCTCCAGTTAGAAAGTTCCCATAAGACAGTTCTCCAGGCATAAAGCATGAAAGCCATAACTGCAGAAAATGTCAAATGATTTAGTATCCACACTCTTATCTTAAAGTTTATCATAATACAATGAGAACTCTCCAGCAAGAAAAATAAGCAGCTTTAGTGTGTACGGTCTAGCGAAAGAAAAACACCTCACAATGATTTGCAGCAGCATTCCTCAAAACGACATGAAACGGACAAATCAAGCAGTCCAGCACTCAAGCAAGAACATTGTATAGTTGTCTCACTTCACAGACATATCGAGTCATAACTAGACTTTTGAAATTTATATCTTTTTTATAGATGGGAAACTTTAAGACTACGTCAACTGTATACAATTTTGAAAAAAAGTCAATAACCGTGTAAGAATTCCCAAGTCCAGCTGAAGTTTCCTTTTAACGCGTGTACAACAAAATACAACTATCCTATTACACTGGTTTAGACATTGACACATGTACCTTTTTAGCAACCACCAACGATAATAAGCTAAGTCTTATTTACAATAAACTTGTGATCCGCTACATGAATATTTTTCTGTCATCCATTCAATCTAGCAATTAATTTATTGAAACAACCACTTAAACACAAATAACTCCTATTTTTATTGAAATCCAAAAATTTGATGAACATCATTGTAAGATTTAAACACCAAGCATAATTATGTCTCATGATAGCTAGTAATAAAGAAAGTCGAAGCATTCCGATGGAGAATGCAATGAAAATTTGATTGAAGACTTGCCATTACCAAATATACACCCATTTTACGGGTACTAATATTAACAGATTGTGATTTATTTCAATTGATTTATTTGTGAGTTATTTATTTTCTTCAAGAAAAAAGTAGTATTAGGCTAAGAAATTTTCATTATTGTTGTTCCATTATTGATTTAAAAACCCAAGTACCCAAGTATAAATAGCCAGGGGCAGACCCGGGGGGGTCCTGAGGGTTCACGTGACCCCCCAACTTTTGAGATTTTTTTTTTTTTTTGATAAAGTCATGTTTGATATCAATTGAAATCTAAATTTTAATCTAAATCAAAGTTAACAATTGAAATCTAAATTTTAATCTAAATCAAAGTTAACAATTAATTATAATAACGTACATAACTGTTTAACTTTTATCAAAATTAACTAAAAATTTAATTTTAATCTCCACCAAATATGGGCAAAATCACAATAAATTTGAATTTTTCTCTTTTCCCTTGCTCTCTTTTACTCTTTTCCTCACACCTTTTAACAAAATCTTAACCCTTCTATTTTTTAAAAATTGTATATAATTTCTCTACAAATTCTCATATTTACTACAAATCTTCACTTTCCAATCAAATTTTCAAGTAAGTAAAATCTAAATTTGCATTTTCTCTTATCAAACTGTGTATATAGAATATGTCTAAACTCATTATATTCAATTAGACTTATATTTAACGAATTTTGTTTATTTGATTGATTATTAGTATTGAATATTAGTTATATGTATTTCCTTTCGATTACTTGAATTAATTGTTTGTATCAAATACATTATAAAATTTTTAAACGTAAATATGCATTTTCTTGTAATTAACAAAATATTAATAAAATGACTCTTCGAAATTAAATGGATGAAAATGATTAGCAAAATATTAATAAATAATTTTTTTTTAAATGTAAATCTACATTATCTCAAGTCAAGTATGAGTCATTTAAAAATCAAGAACAAAGTATTCGATTTGTACAGGGTTTGATTGTGCCCCCAAACATAAAATGTCTGCGTCCGCCCCTGTAAATAGGACTATGATTTCTCAGTAATTCAAACAGTTGATTTGAATGTTAAAGTGTTTTCCCCCTACAGTTCTTTTACTGAATTCCAAATTATTCTACTCCATTCTGTTTTTGTTCTCTCTCTCTCTTCTTTGTGCTCCTGATTTGCATCAAATGGTACCATAGCATAGATGTTACTCTTGTTGAAACCTCCTCGAAAGCTATAATTTTGGTGTTGTCTGTTGCAAGAAAAGAACTCTCTAGTATTATTCATCAGAAAAAATATGTTATCGCTCTTGCCCATCTAACCAAAAAATAAAATGCCAGCAGCATCCCATGATTGTAGCAACCAACTTCTACCCCAACTGGCCATTGTAACGTAGACCTCACTGATAGTCCATGCCAACAAACCAGTAAACATAGAGCAACTCACAAATCAGTCAAAAAAGCAAACCACTCAAGTCACAACCCATTTGACTCATAAAAGTCCAAGCCCATTAGCCGCGGTCAACTCCAAAAGCATTGTTAAAGAAAATCAATAATAAGTCCAGACAAACTACCCCATTACCGACGCCACCATTGTAGTAGACAGACGTGAAAAAAATAAATAAATAAAATTTGCATCTCCAGGAAGTACATATATCCAACAAAAATCCCTCCCTAATCACTGGCCATGCTTCCTTACAAGTCCTCTAATAGCCAGTTATAAAGAGCCTACTCAGAAACCGAATGATGTTTCTAATCTTTCCTCATAACAATAAACATCTATCATCCTTTCTGTCTCTTCTCATCAATAAAAAATCTATAATTTAAATTTTACTCTTCATATCCAACAGCTGTATGGGAAATCTTCCTTTTTTTCCCTGAATATGTTACATGTATCCTTGTGTTAATCTTAAATTAGCATTAATTTTAGCTCCTTGGCAGGTAGTTACTGTGCAGCTTCTGACACATCGACACACATGCTAGTAATGTCGTAAAACAACTAATTTGGTAAAAAGGAGAGGCGTAAGCCTTTAGATTTTTTAAAGCCTAATCCTGCACTTCAAGGCTTTTAATGCAAGCCCCAGCTGAAGAGGGCCTCAAGGTGTAAACATCATATAGCATTTTAACAAAATGTGTACTTATATTCAAGAATCATACTTATATGTAAGTATATGTCAATATTGAAAATTTCTGGAGGTTTTTTATGAAAAATTTAGGTGTTGGTCAATGTACTCAGTACTCACCTGTCACCATGTTATATTACCTTAGGCTTCAGCCCAAATTAGACTTATTTATAGTAGCCATTATCATCATCTACTTTCTCATACTTCAAAAAATTCAGTTAATAACAAGCACTAGCTGATTCACAATAATAAGGCAATAATTATGCCTCACAAAAATGACACGTTTTCTTTCTCATTTTTAGGTTCTAATTCTTGCAATATATGACTACTATTTCCCAATAAAGAACATAGAGCCGAACCATAGCTTCAACTAAGCATGTCCAGTTAAATTAGAGTGCAAGTATAAACGGTCCACATACAGGAAACTACAATGACATTATAAATGGCCTCGTATGCAACAGACTTTCACGCTACAGGAAGAGGGAAAAAAAAATTAGAGTGCAAGTATATACGCTTTATGATGCCATAAAAAAATTTTATATACCAATGAGCAAAGGCCACCTAACAGGCTTATCGGGAGCTTCTTTGGTCAAATATCTGAACCTTTCAGGCATAGTGCTCTGCCCACGAGCCTCCTCCTCCGCTTTCTTATCAATCGTATCAGTACTAATCTGATCTTCATTTTGTGCTTTTAGAGTGAACCTAACATTTATGTTTCTTTTATCAAAAGGGATCCCAAAGTTCTTCTTGAAAAGCCCAAAAAAATTGTGGGTGCTTTGGATTTTGATTTTCCTGAAAGACTCTGCATTTACGGTTGGTAAAGAGGAGTTTAATGGGAAAGAATTACTCTTGCGAGTGAACAGCGAAATTCTTGGAGAGAAGGGCTTTATGGGGTTTGTGAAGTGGAGAGTTGAGAGAGTCGTCGACATGGTTATCGAGGGATCGGAATCAACAGGAGGATTGGATTTTAGCCATTGATGGTACCAACTACCAAAGCGGGAGAAGATCTTTTGGGCTTGGGGCTTTAGGGAATTTTGGCAGCGATGGATCACGGGTTAAAACAGTCTGACCCATTGTGACCTATGGATCTAGTCCCAACTTGAACCCCAACCTAAACTCAACACAACAATCAGTTTAGTGGCAGCGTTAGTCATCGCATGATTGGAAATTTTTTATAAACACAATATAAATAAGTGAAGGATAAATTAAATACCCACCCCACCCCACCTTAACTTACCTTAAATCCCTAATTTCTCAGATTTCAGCATAACTATCTCTTTCTATCTCTATCTCCCTGGCGGCGTGGAAGGGACTTCTCTCCATTGCCCACCACCATTGCGCCGCCACCATGTCCACCACCACTGCACCGTCATCATCGCCCGTCAAAGAAATAAGTGATGTTGCCTCTCTGCTCACGATCGTCAACGCTTCTCTCTCCTCTCTCATACCCTTTCCCGTCTATCTACTCAAAAGCCTCATTTGAACGTGATTTATATGCCGATCTTCTCTATTTACCACCGAGTAGAAAAAAATGTGTAATTGTGACCCAGTCTTTTGAGCATTTTCACTGTCAAGATGTATCAGCGGCAGCGATCCCAGTCTTTTGATGAGGTTTCAACAGACAACCATCCACCTACACCAGTCGAAGAGACTAATGGTAATGAGAGCTCTCCATTGGGATCTAGGGGCAGTGGTAGTCCACTTAAATCCCTAATTTGTCGATTTTTAGCATAAATACCTTCTCCCTCTTTATCTCTCTCTCATGGTGTTGACGGCGTGGAAGGGGTAGCGGTGCCGTGGCGTGAATCTGTGGTGGGGCGGGTGTGGTGAGTGGAGGTGGGGTGCAGCGGCGTTGGGTTTGAAGTCTGGCCTGGTGCTGTGAAGTCCGGCCTAGTTTTGTGTTTTGTTGCTGTGGTTTATGGTGGTTCATCGGTGTTCCTTGGTGGTTTTTTGCTGTGGTTTTTGGTGATTTATGGTAGTAGTTCCGTCTCTGTGAAGTCGAAGCAACGACGCTCCGACCGCTACTAATCTGAGCCACAGTAGGCTCCGACAGCGATGGTTTTGGTGATTTTTGTGGTGGTTCTGTTGTGGTGGTGGTGTTGTGGAGGGGTAAGCTGACGGTGGTGCGATTTTTTATGTGATGGCTGTCGCCGAGTTTTGTGGATTCTTTGATAGGGGTGGTGTAAACAGAGATGGTGGCCGTCGTGTTGGCGGGGGTGGTGGTTTTGTGGATCTAATAATTTCTGTAGTGGTGGCGGCAATATTGTTGGAGCTAGAGATTTTCATGGTTTTTGGTTTGCCGTCGAT